TAGTGTCCCCTTTGTAAGCGAGAGAGGGACACTTTCAAAGCACTTGTCTGCCTCTTTGTAACCTATTGTGACGATTGACTTCCTCGTAGGACAAGCACATGTTAAAATAGCTAGTCACTTGGTCAGGTGGCTAGGTGCAACCCAATGTGGTAGGTTAAATAGGGAGTTCGGGACTGTCCGACCGAACTGCTGAGGTGATGAATCCGTTCGCATTAATAATCTTAAAGTTTTATTATTGCAATTTGTAGCTCTACTGGTTATACTTATGCGTACAAAAGCATTTATATATTTATTTAAATCTTAAAACCACTATAATAATATTTTATTTACACTAGTGATTATAATTCCGTAAGTAACGGATCATCTCCCGCCTTTTGGTGCATTCATCAAATTACAATCACTTTATGGTTCGATTCAATTTTGTCCGTCCTTCCGTTAATATTTCTATTGTAACTTTTTATTTAAAGCACAATTTTTATGAAAATTTGTTGGACTAGTCTACGTATTTGGTAGATTAAGTCCACCAAGTTATATTTCAAATTGAAAGTATAATTGCAACTTCTAAACCTATTTGAAATTTTGCATAGACAGATGCTGTGCTAATAAGTCGAAATTCTAAGATAAATGATTTAATAAGAAAAAAGTATTTTCTGCTAATTTATGCAGGAATAGTAATCATAATATCTTTATTAGTGTTAATCTTATTGCTATTTTTAAGTAGTACAGCTAAGAAAAATGAAAATAAAATAATTCAAAAACAACTGATGATCCGCGAAAATAATTTTTACCAAAATATTGGAAATGGTATTCTCTACAAAACCATTAAAAGTCGTACGATGCATAATAATAGAGATATATGCAAAGATTTGATACTTATGACCTTTGACTTCCACTGTCACATTAGAACCGCGACTTTTAGTTCTTTATTTAGATTGTTTAAATGATGCTGTATACCAGTTTTTATATTACCGTCTTAAATTCTTCATTTTGGTCAATTTGTCCACTAATTAAGATAGATTACGTTTGAAAAGATAAATATTGCTGATGTTATGGATGTAATGCTAACAACCGCTGCATGGTATAATAATTTATCAAATATACCTCTAAACCCAAATTTCGAACGAAAATTAAAATCTGTACATAAAATGGGAAGAACATTTCAATATAAAAACTGATTTCCCAAAAGTCCTATGTGGAGTATTTTTGAATTGCAAATAAATTCCTTCCACAATAAGGTCGCAAAGTCAATTCATTAAAAAAATAGTTTATTTTATATATTTATCTACAGTGCTTATTACGAATTAATAAATTTGGAAATATTTTCAATACTTATTTTTATAACATTTATAAAAGCATAATATTGTTCATTCTTGGTATTTCTTCGTTCGTCTTCGCGGACCTTAAATCGAAAATTCGATGAAAAAATATTTTTTTTCATACAGTGTTTTATTCAAATGAGTGTAACTTTTTTCACCTATTGGTCCTAGCAGAAATTGTTGAAAGGAGTTCAGATAGCTATTTCTTCATTGTTTCCAAAATATTAAACATGTGTACGTACTTATATATGTATATGATTCCGACTCATCGTAAGGAGATTTTCCCTTTTCTTTTAATTCACAATGTGCTTTATTGTTCAAAAAGAACCGAATAAATCTCGTATAATAGAGGGCACCATGGTTAATCATTAATTTCGTGTATAATACGAAATATTATTTAATAAATCCCTTTTCTATTTTTACGAAAGTACGAAAACCTTTCGTAATATTTTTTTTTTTCTTAAATTTTAGCGAAATTAAACATAATGATATTAATTATATTATGATTAAATAAAACTACAACAATTTTTAAAATTTAAGAAAAAGTATAATAATATTCACGAATTATTTTCATAAAAAAAAAAAAAATTCGTGTGGAGAATAATTTTGAACTAAAATTAGAAAAACTATTTTGAAATAAGCAAAAATGTTTGTATAAATTAATATTTCGTAAATTTTACCATATTTATTCAAAATTGCCTTTTTTCAATTTATGTAAATTAATTTCTTCAAGATTATTTTACATTATACTAAAATATTTCGTACAATTTCGTATATATTACGAAAGAATTTCGTGGTGCGAAACAACAAACGATTCGTACAATGTACGACATTTTTTGTATATATTAGGCATGGATTTGTTTCAGTGTATCTTTAAATTAACAATATTGCAATGAAATTCTACACGAACAAAAACGTCAAAAACGTCCCCACTTAATTTTATAAGAAGGGGTCAATAATCCCCATATAAGGTCCCCTTCATAAATAACTTGAATGCTTATTACTAGTTTTAAAATGTCAGTATTGCAATGAAATTCAACACAAACTAGTTTTGTGGGAACCTAAATCTCCCCACTTAATTTTAAAAGCAGCGCTACATACATAATTGACCTAACTTGAAAATATCAGTATAGCAAAAAAATCGCCCTAAATTACTTTAATAGGAATCGCTCATAACTTTCTCCAAAATCATATATAGCGATAAAATTCGACAAAATCGAAGTGTATAGGATTAAAAAATCTTCTTCAATTCAATAAAATTGCAGATATTAATATATACTGCATGAATAAGTACATAGAATAAATAAGTACACAGTTTTGATGGTGGGTATAAAAGATTCGGCATAGCCGAATATAACACTCTTGTTTAATTTATTTAACATTTGCAAAACAAATGTAATAATTTTATATGATGTGGCAACTCAATTTTATTTGTCTTAGCCCAGAAAAATGATTCGAAAAAATGATCAAGCTATGGAATTTTTAATAGGTTAATGATAGTTGGTACAGCTCTTCGTCTTGGGATATCAATTGCTTTTTATTTATGCACCAGAAGCTAACTCATAATGAGGTAAATTCTGGTTAGCTGGAACTGGTGCAAAGTGAGTAAGTACTGTCTCCTTCCTATGACATTACGATGAATAACTGAATAGTCTCCTCTGACTCATTTGTGGTTAACCCTAAGTTAGCTTTAAGTTAACTCAAAATCCTACTGAGTTATTTTGTTATTGTATTCCATACGGTGGCAAACTTAACAAAAACATTTATTGAATAAGTTAAAGTTTTCGTTGAACATAAAACTTTTTTCTAAAAGGTGTTTGCAAAAATTGTAGCTATAATTCTTTCTGTAATACTTACTTAGTATGTACGAGAAACCATTTAATGTTTGTTTTTATTGTAATGCATGCACAAATTAATATAATAAATAGTACTACTTTGGTCTGAACCTATTACCTGTATAACAATATTACAACATTTATGTGATAGTTGAGTTCGAAATATTATATCCGAATAATCATAGTTTTGTACTATTAAGTATATATGTATATGGATAATTTCAAAAAATTTCGAACAAAAAAGTGTGATTTTAAACATGACCCTCTCTGATTTCAATGAAATATGTGTACCAAATTTCAAATTTCTCCAAAATTTTTAAATTCGTAACGGTTGAGATTTTATCGAGGTTCAAAGTTCATATTATTTTCTAAACTATATATCCTATTTAAATCGTTTTACTCCATAATTAAAGCGTATGCTTTGTAGTTAAACGATAATTTGGAAAAATATTATATTTTAAAAATGAGAATAATGATATCTTAAAAACGGCATCTTCCATTCTTTATTCCTTCACCAAAAAGAGCTTTTAGTGTTCTCAAAACAAAATATAAAAATGTCAGAATGGGACAATGAGGAGATTTCAAGTAAATAAGCTTTTAGTAAAATAATCCTCATCATATCCATACAAATTTCAAAGATTATAATTTTTTCATGATGAACACAAAAATAAATTAAAAAATTTAAAACAAAAAATTAAATGTTTCATTAACATAAAATTAAAATTTATGAAATTTGTATGGAAATGATGAGGATTATTTTACTAAAAGTTGGCTTACTTGAGATCCCCTCATTGTCCCATTCTGAATTTTTTATATATTGTTGCAATTTTATGTGAATGAATAAAATAAATGGAAGGTACCTTTTTTGGGATATCCTAAAAGACGTTTTTTAATGTCATTATACTTACGCTAAAATTTTAAACAAAATATTGTCAAATTACAAGCCATAGGCTTCAATTAGGGACTAAAAATTAAAATCGGCTAAATAGTTTAGAATATATACGATGTCAAATCAATTTGAAAAGTTTTGGAGAACTTTAAACTTCTAATTTATACAAAGAATGTGTGTACCAAGTTTCATTAATATCGGAAAGGGTAAGGTACAAACCTGTTCGAAAGTTATTGAAATGACCCATGTATAAATATTTGTAAATTTAAACTTTCCAGGAAAAGCATGTGAAATGTCATTTAGTTTTCATACACTAATATCTTGCACATCTACCTACATTGTATGTATGTATGTATGTTCCTATTTTGGCACATTCATTAAAGATTCACTCTCTCCTCCAGCAGTTTACACTTACATAAAGAAATTGAAACTCAATAATTCTTAATGCACTCACTATAAAAACAAAATTTTACTAACATTTTTCTTTTTTCAATAGATATTCGTATATTATATCCAAAATTTTTTTTTATATTCGCAATGATGCTGTAATCACAAGATCGAAAAGAAGATTATATTTTTTTTTAGTTTCTTTAAATATTCATATGTACGTTTTTAAGGATCATCTTTTTTTTTGGTTTTCTTTGTTGAATTTTGTTTAAATTTAAGATCTTTTAATATATTATTAGAATATATTTTTTAGTTTATACTTTTTTGGATTTCGTTTCTTATTGTACTTGAAGCTGTATTTCTTTCAAGCCATTTAAAAATAATGCTAAAATTACATATATGAAAACTCGTTTACTAATTGAAATAATTTTCTTCTTCTCTTTCCCTCCTTACTTCCTGTTGTACGCTTAACCTAAATATCCTTGAAATCTCCTTTCCTTTTTAACAAAACTCCAACAACGACACAATAATGAAATTTGATGGAATCACACTGTTTTAATAAAAAACCAACAGACGTCTTGCCGATGAAGATGATGAACTTTCTGAAGTGCAACCGGATGCTGTTCCGCCAGAAGTTCGTGAGTGGTTGGCTTCGACATTTACACGACAATTGGCAACAACACGCAAAAAAAACGATGAGAAACCCAAATTCCGTTCGGTGGCACATGCCATACGTGCTGGTATATTTGTGGATCGTATTTATCGCAAGGTATCAAGTACAGCATTATTACAATTTCCTGCAGAAGTTGTCAAAGTACTTAAGGTGAGTGTAAAATATAAAATAAAAAATATAATTGTACTTTAAGACTTGTTTAAAGTTTTTGCAAACATGAAATTGGACCTACAAATAACGATGGGAAATTTTTTTAAATTTTGTAATAAATTAAGTTCAGAACCAGGCCAAACGAATGTTTTATTTGTGCATCAGAATATAGGAAAACACATAAAATATGTGTAACAACTCAACCGGTGCGTGTTCATATCTGAAGAGGTTTCCCATACGTTTGTAAACGAGGAAAAACGAGGTAAATTAAAGTTTCGCCAATTCCAAGATATAATTTCTCGAAGTTTTTTCTGGGGTCAATATCTGATAAGCTGGGTCGAAGGATAAAAAGATTATTTTTTTAATTTTTTACCTATTGCTTTCATGTTTTACACAAAGGAATGATATGCAATTTTGACAACATGTGAGGGGGGTTTGGGAGGCGCTACGAATGGCTTATCATTATAGATGAGATTCATTATAGATGAGATTTACCCGGTAGTTGGCAATATTGTGTGTAAATACCGGATGTTCTAAAGACTCAAACCTTGGACTAATCTAACACTCATATGTTTTTTTTTATTCCCTAAAAACAGATGCTGTTAATATATGTATGTATCTCGTTGCTATGAAAACGAAAAATTTATTTTTTTAAGTATTTCAAGGTGTAGTGGATATACAATTGGTTGTAGTATTCATATTTACAATTTTTTAAATTTGTTTGAGTTGATGGCCGCAGATGCTACTGCTCTATGCTACATTTCTTTGACTTAGAATTTATTCTTAGGTTTAAGTTGAAAAAAATAATTTGAAACCTCTGCACAGTGGACCACACTACCAGATGGCAGTCAAAAATCTATAACTTTTGATTGAATTGGAATTTTTGAACCCTTTTTTTTTTTTTTTTGTTTGGTAGATGAGACTTAGGGCTTCAATTATTGCCATAACTTAAAAATCGGTTTTCTAGAAAAAAGTTATGGGGGGTTGAAGTCAACTCTTCCGTTTTTAGTTGAATTTAAGTATAAAGTGAAGTGTTACATCATGTTATTTTTTGTTTCTTATGCAATCTTATATTTCTAGTTTTTAGTTCACAACTAATATTTAAAAAAAAATAACTTTAATCTTGTCAGAAAATGTCAAACGTTGGCTCCCCTAAAACTTTTTAGTTCTAATATTCACAAGGGCCCAATGTTGGTTTTTTAATAGACGATTAAATTTAAATGACTATCGTTTCTAAATGTAAGTAACTTCGGTAAAGGATTTTTTAATTAAAAACTAATTTGTATTTATAATAAGCTCTGTGTACTTAAAAACTACGATACATAAAAAAAATAGTAAATATTTCTTCTAAATATTTTGTTTAGCTTCTTCGTCTAATTCAATAGAGGTACTTTTCCATTTTCCAGCATTGGACTTGTATGGATCAGAAATGCACAACAAAATAGTGATAAGGTATCCATTAGTTTGAAATATACATTGGTTCTCGTACTGTTGACTTTAGCGGTTATAATTTTCTTGAAAAATTTGAGAATTCTAGCTATTGAAGTTTCTTATATATAAGAATTTTAATACTTATTTTTAATGTGGGCCCTCGCCCATTAAAAATTTCAAAAAAAAAATAAGTCGTTTCTTCTAAACTTATAGGAGATACTGTGAATTTAATCGGTTTTCAGTATATAGACTAAAAATAAAAATACAAAGAAACACACACACGTTTCAAATGCTTTATTCGTAAATTTCTCACAAAATAACATACTTTGAGTGAGAAAAATTGCGGATCCGGCAGGATATATAATGGGGTATACAAGTGTAGGAGAGGGTTCGGGCTATATCACAGTATAGAACTTTTTTGTTTGTTTTTATTCTTTTTTGTTCCCTCGGAATTACGAGGGAGTCTATTAATTAGTCTATTAACTACCCGATTTTTGGTAAATTTGGAACTATAAAAAATTGTATGTTCTAATAATATAACATAAAGACTTATTTTTTTCTAACAGTAATAGTTTGGAAGTCAAATAATTTTACAAAATTTATTTCACTTTAAAATCTTTTTTTTTTTAAAGTTAAAGTAATCATTTAAAAATTTACTAAGAAAATTGAAAATTAAGCAAAATGCTGTGATAGTTTATGTTTGATCACTCTGTTCGTTATGATAGTGTTAAAATACAGTTGTAATTTTTTTACTCCCGAGGTTTACGAGTGTTTACTTTCAAATAAGTAACATAACTTTAAAATATGTGATCATAAAAACATAATTTTTGACCGCCATTTCGAAAAATGGTCCACAGAGCTACGGTAGGTTAGTGTTCTATTCTGGTAGATCTGAGGTGGTAGATTCGATTCCCACCAACTGGTTAATGGGAGATTATGAAAAACTTTTAATTGCTTTGGAATTCTTAAGATTTCAGACCTACATGGTGCAAATGTTCTAGATTATTACTTTTTATTTCAAAGTATTAATAAAGAAGTATTAATACATTTTTCTTAAAAGTGCTTCTTTGTTCTTTTACAAGGAAACAGGATAACGAAATAAAAAACTCTGAACTCAGTTTTGCTTCGTTTAGGCCCGTATTCAGAAAAACACTAACAAAAACTGAGTAGTTCATACAAAATTTTAAAATTTGTTTTCTTTTCTTCTTTCTGATTTCGGACATTAATCTCTAGTTTCAGACTTATAATATCTGGTTCGTTTTTAATTTTGAGTGTTGGACGGTGTAATATTGTAAAATACACAAAAACTATTTCTTTCCGATGTTTATTACTTTTCAATTTTAGAAATTTTATTTTGACAAAACCTAACTCTAGACAACAAAATAATGTTGTGTTTGTTGCCGAAATGCTCTCACCTTATTTATTACATCCTGCATTTCGTCCGTGTTTTGAATATGTGTGGGTTTTCACTAAGTTTTCAGAAAAGCAAAAAAAAAAAAAACAGATTAATTTAGCTGTATTTATGTTACATCGCGTTTCTTCAGAAAAATATGACTTCGCAGATTTGTTAACTAATGTATTTAATATGTATGTATTTTGAAAAATAACTGCATTTCATAATAATGTTTAACTTCAACCTTAAATTTCTCAACAGCTGCTGAACTGATTTAAATAAAATTAAAACTGGGGAAAAATTCAATAAAAAAATATAAAATATTTCTATCGGTTTGAAAGGTACAGAGTTTTGACCAATGAAAAATTGAATCTTCATACTCAACTATGTATAAGTGATTTACTTTCGAATTTAAAACTGTAAAAAGTTCTTCTGAGAAGTACAAAAAACAACTTATGTACATTAGGGTGTCCCGTGGACCACTTTTTAGGAGGAATACCTCTAAAACGATGCGTTTCAATTTGGCGAGAAAAATAAAAAACAATTTTTTGAAAAAGGTCCTCAGTTCCCTACCTGCGATTGAAAATCTTGATCTCAGTACAATATGTTCAAAAAAATTAGAGTATTTCTGGTCTGCAAAACGACTTTTATTGTATTACACCCTTTTTTGAAAAAAGCTTTCACACATAGAAAAGTTGATATGCATGAGAAACTAGAGTCCATTTATAGCAATTCTGCATACTCCGTTTTTTATAATCAGCTCTTATGTCCTTATAAAAGGACTCCAAAGTTCAAAGGACTGACAATTTCAAACAAATAATTTAAATATTTGTATGTGTTGTATTATGCTAATATTGGTATCAAATGAAATCTGTACATTCTATCTGTATTATTTATTTCACTCACTTAGACAAAAAAATCTAAAAAAAAAAATTAAATTTAAAAAAGGTCTCATTTTCGAAACAAAAATTGTTGAATACTATTTTGTGACAAATTTTCTTTAAGCTCCCTTTTCTGTTTTAATCATGATGAATTGAAATGAATAATATTATTTTGAGCAGAGATTGTCAGCTTCATTTGATATTAATATTAATAAATATATTAATAAATATAAATATAGATGTTTTCATGTGTGAATAAGAGACATATAAATTTCAAAAAATTCTGAAACTGAGTAAACCAAATGTCAAACTAATTTTTAAATATTTTTGTGTATAAGCTAAAAATTACGACAAATTTGACTCCAACTCACTAAAAATCATTTTGTGGACCAAAAATATTCTACAAAAATTTTAAAATTATTTTTCCCGTAATCAGCTTAAAATTACGGAATTTTTGAGATCCATTTCGAAAAAATCGAAAATATTATATTTTTTAAAAATTATACTGAGGTAAAGATTTTCAATCGCTGGTAGGGAACTGAGGATCATTCCAAAAAAAATGTTTTTATTTTTATTGTGTTCAGTACATTAATAGGCATCGATTGAGCGGTATTCCTACATGAAATTCTTAAAAAGGCTTTTCCTCGGGATACTCTAATGTACATATCGTCACCTGAAACGCCAACGGCCCTAACTAACCAGAAATCCAAAATCGATTTTATTGCAGAAAAAGTCCCTATCTACAAAAACATTTAAATATTAAAGTTTAAAAGTCCAATTTATCCATTTTTATGTACGTCAATGTCAACTATCAAAACAAATAATAGGTTTCACTATTAAACAATTTGTTTATTTTATAAAAATAAATCGCGCTGATTGGAACAAACTTTTCAATTTAAATAGTCTTTTGCTTCTCCCTTTAGGTGACGCACAGTGGTATAGGAAAAAAAAAAAGAGGGAAATAATTCGGTAACTTCTAAACGGTTAATCCGATTTTAATGAAATTTGGTATGCACAAAGAGGAGGTGTTGTCAAGTTTAGGTTTTGAATTTGGACCTTATAGGCCAACCAGGGGCCCGGCGGGGGGTCCTCAAATTAGGACACCTCGGCTATGTTAAATTTTTAAAACGATCCTATTTCTTCATTTGAGTTCCGATTTAAAAAAAATTTCGTATATAGAATCTCCTCATCGAGCACTATAAAAAATGTCGTCGTAGCAGTAAATTATCTCTTATAGTTTAGGAGATATTCGCATTTGAATATTAAAATTTTAAAATTTTTACCGTCCTTACTTTAGTTTTTTTGATAATAGCAGGTCCAAATATTTCCGATTTTCGCCATTTTTTTTTATTTGCTTAACAACAAGTTTATATACCAAGCAGTGAAAGAATTATGTAAAAATCATGACTGAGTCCAAAGTTATAGGCATTTAAATTTAAAAAATTAAAAAAAGGCGATTTTTTGTCATTTTTTTGGGAAAAAAGTATCTTTTTCTTTTTAAGTTATCTAAAAAGTTTCTAAGAAGATGTATATAGAATTTATACTTTTTGGAAAGCTGACTTTACATAAAATACGATAAATGAAACAAAACCTAAAAATTTTTGATACCGAGGGGACCAGGTCCATCCAAAAAAACCCTATTTTTTATGGAAAATTAAATTTTGAGCAAAAATTCTCAAATCGCATAGTCGATATCAAATTATAGTGACCTGTTTTATATGACCCAATAAGTTCTTAATCATTTTGTAACGGGTTTCGATAACCCCGCCCCTGGTATGGATATAATAGGCAAAAAACCAAAAAATCCCATTTTTGGGATTTTTTAAAACTTTTTTGGGAATTCCGGGATTTCTAATAAGAAAATTCGAAATTTTTATTTAATTTTGGATTTTGAGTAAAAAAATCTACCTAACTGTAAAATTTCATCAAAAAATATTCATAAATAAAATTTTTATTGCAATTTGAAAAATTTGTATCTTCGCAAAAACTGAATAAAAAACATTTTTTAATTTTTTTTAAAAAAAGTATTCCGCGAATTTTTTAATTTTCAAAAATTATATACAGTTTTGAAAAATAGACAAAATTACCTTTCCATTGATATATAACATGCCTACCTAATGTTTTTTAAGTGACAAATTAATTAGGGAAAACTCAACATCTTTTAGAAAATTTACCTAGCACTATTATTTTCATCCATATATGTAACAAATTTAAGAGTTAACCTTATGGATGAAAATAATAGTGCTAGGCAAATTTTCTAAAAGATGTTGAGTTTTCCCTAATTAATTTGTCACTTAAAAAACATTAGGTAGGCATGTTATATATCAATGGAAAGGTAATTTTGTCTATTTTTCAAAACTGTATATAATTTTTGAAAATTAAAAAATTCGCGGAATACTTTTTTTAAAAAAAATTAAAAAATGTTTTTTATTCAGTTTTTGCGAAGATACAAATTTTTCTAATTGCAATAAAAATTTTATTTATGAATATTTTTTGATGAAATTTTACAGTTAGGTAGATTTTTTTACTTAAAATCCAAAATTAAATCAAAATTTCGAATTTTCTTATTAGAAATCCCGGAATTCCCAAAAAAGTTTTAAAAAATCCCAAAAATGGGATTTTTTAGTTTTTTGCCTATTATATCCATACCAGGGGCGGGGTTATCGAAACCCGTTACAAAATGATTAAGAACATATTGGGTCATATAAAACAGGTCACTATAATTTGATATCGACTATGCGATTTGAGAATTTTTGCTCAAAATTTAATTTTCCATAAAAAATAGGGTTTTTTTGGATGGACCTGGTCCCCTCGGTATCAAAAATTTTTAGGTTTTGTTTCATTTATCGTACTTTATGTAAAGTCAGCTTTCCAAAAAGTATAAATTCTATATACATCTTCTTAGAAACTTTTTAGATAACTTAAAAAGAAAAAGATACTTTTTTCCCAAAAAAATGACAAAAAATCGCCTTTTTTTAATTTTTTAAATTAAAATGCCTATAACTTTGGACTCAGTCATGATTTTTACATAATTCTTTCACTGCTTGATATATAAACTTGTTGTTAAGCGAATAAAAAAAAATGGCGAAAATCGGGAATATTTGGACCTGCTATTATCAAAAAAAACTAAAGTAAGGACGGTAAAAATTTTAAAATTTTAATTTTCAAATGCGAATATCTCCTAAACTATAAGAGATAATTTACTGCTATGACAACATTTTTTATAGTGCTCGATGAGGAGATTCTATATACGAAATTTTTTTTAAATCGGAACTCAAATGAAGAAATAGGATCGTTTTAAAAATTTAACATAGCCGAGGTGTCCTAATTTGATGACCCCCCGCCGGGCCCCTGGTTGGCCTATAAGGTCCAAATTCAAAACCTAAACTCGACAACACCTCCTCTTTGTGCACACCAAATTTCATTAAAATCGGATTAACCGTTTAGAAGTTACCGAATTATTTCCCTCTTTTTTTTTTCCTATACCACTGTGTGACGATATGTATATACTTTTTTGTTGCCACTGAAAAAAACTGAGATAAACCATTAAACCTGTGTATAATAAATTAATTTCATTAATTTTTTCAGACTTTGGACGATTGGTGTTTCGATGTTTTCGCTTTGGCAGAAGCAGCTAATGGCCAACCTGTCAAATATATCGGCTATGATTTGCTCAATCGTTATGGCATTATACATAAATTTAAAATCGCCCCCGCTACCTTGGAAACCTTTCTCAATCGCATCGAGGAGGGCTACTGTCGTTATCGCAATCCATATCATAATAATTTACATGCGGCTGATGTCACCCAAACAGTACATCATATGTTGTGCCAAACGGGTCTCATGAATTGGTTGACGGATTTAGAGATTTATGCCACTCTTTTGGCGGCTTTAATTCATGATTATGAACATACTGGCACCACCAATAATTTTCATGTGATGTCAGGCTCCGAAACGGCTTTGTTATATAATGACCGTGCAGTTTTGGAAAATCATCACATCAGTGCCGCTTTTCGATTACTCAAAGACGACGACTGTAACGTGTTATCCAACCTGTCGCGCGAAGAATATCGCGAACTGAGAACCTTAATTATAGATATGGTTTTATCGACCGATATGTCCTTCCACTTTCAACAGCTTAAGAACATGAAAAATTTATTGACGCTCAACGAGGCTACAGTCGACAAGTCGAAAGCTTTAGCCCTGGTTTTACATTGTTGTGATATTTCACATCCTGCCAAACGATGGAATCTGCATCATCGCTGGACAATGTTACTGTTAGAAGAATTTTTCCGTCAAGGTGATCTCGAACGTGAGCTGGGACTGCCCTTTAGTCCACTTTGTGATCGAAATAATACCCTAGTAGCGGAGTCTCAGATAGGATTTATCGATTTTATTGTAGATCCCAGTATGTCGGTAATGGCTGATATGTTGGAACATGTTTTGGCCCCTATAGCACCTATGTGTAAAAATGTCAATGCCAGCATAGATGCTGGGGACGTTCCTATCGACGGACCAACTTCTAATGCTAAAAACTCGCTGCGCAATCGCTCAACAACGTGTGAAGCTATCGAAGAGAGTAATGAAAATAAGTCTGGGGACGATAAGTCGACAATCCAGGGTACTGGAACTGGGGGTGGTAGCAGTAGTACAGCGGCATCAGCATTCAAACAAAAGTTTACCATACGAAAGCCATGGATTACATGTCTAACGGATAATAAGAAAATTTGGAAGGAACAGGCAATAAAAGGTTAGAGGATCTATTATTATTATTTGTCTTTTTATGACTAATGTTTACCGAAAAGCACAACGCAACCAACTAACTAATACGAAATTTTTTAATTTTTTTAACTGCAAAATATTTCTAAGAATTAAAAATAATATTTCCACAAGCGAAATCTATGTTGTTAATATTCAGGGAAATATTTCTGAGAAATATTTCTTTGTTTTAACTATTTTAGCAACAAATAACCAACATTTATTTATTTAACTTGTTTCTAGTCGATATAAATACGAATAGATTCACAGTTTAATTTGAATATATAGTTTGTTTATAAAATCAATATACATTTTCTACAAAAGTGCCCGTTTCGTTTACCTTTTTAAAGATGTAATCGTCGATAACGAAAACTGAAACTAAACAAGTAGAGTTCGCCTTTGTCGAATCTTTTATGTACATATGTATACTCTTCACCATAGGTTTAATTTAATAAATACACTAGTTTCCCGGTTTAACGAATACTCAGTTTACGAATTCGGGATTTAACGAATGAGCAATTTTTTTTCATTGAATACCTTATATTACGAATAAATGAGTCAATTTTGTACTCGATATAACGAATTTCTAAAAATTTTTTTATAAAAAGTGGTGAAAACAATACAAAAAGAGCACTAAACTTTATAATTATCCAAAAGCCTTTAAAATTGAAATTCTAAATCCAACTGAATGAATACACAGTTTGAAATTCAAAAAAAAAAATCTTACAATAGAAATTAAATTTACATATAAAAATAATGTTCTGAAATATAAATAAGATTAAAAAAAAGATATATGTACATTTTAAGGTAAAAATCTTTATCTAAAGAAACTTTGTGATTATTTTAAAAATACAGAGAGAAATGGAATTGTTTGTCAACAAAATTACTCGAAAATATTCAGAATTTTACACATGGGAATAAAATCCATTTATCTAACTTTAATAGATTTTTTCTTGAAATCGTTAATTTGGGTTTTTTTTAATTAAAAAAAAAAAAATTTACAAACTGCAAAAAAATGCATAGAAATGGTCACAATCTATATGAACGCATTAAAACGGATTTTAAAAATATAATTCTTACCTTCCATTACCATATTTTTATCATTAAATCATATAATTTTTTTTATTCGGTTTAACGAATTTTTCGTTTTTATGAATGGGCCTGACATATCTTTTGTTAAACCGGAAAACCACTGTATCACTTTATCAAGACAAAACAATAAAACAACAACGACTTACACCAAACGAAACAAAACTCACAAAAAACCAACAACAAAATACACAAAGCAATAAAACCAATAAACATCCAAACATATGTTCGTTTTTTTCCAATAATGTTGTTGTTGCTTTTTTGTCATAAAATGCGAAAAGTTCTCTTCTTTATGAAAGTTTCAGAAGTCAGAGTCTCCCGACTAACAGCAACACGAGAAAAATAAAAAAATATTTTTTTGGAATGGTCCTCAATTCCCTCAGAAATTTTGAATGTGGGACCCCTGAATCAGCTGTCAGGAACCATACGGTGAACAAACGATCGTTATCATAAAAAACAAAGTGAAAAGTATACTTTTATATTAAGAACTTCATTTATAATTAAAATATTCAAAATTAAATCCAAAAACGCATTTATGGAATCTTAGCTTCTGCCCCCTTTGCAATAATATCTAAGAATTGTTTCTATTAGTTTTTCCAATGCCAATTTGTTGAATATTGGTAAAATATTATGGAGCAAAAAAATCTATGAAATAGATATTCCGAAATTCCCGGGATTTTTCAGGATTGGAAAATCCCGAATCCCGGGATTGGTTACTAAAATTTTTTTAAATTATTTTTTGAGCCATAATTTCATTCAGTTCGCTTGAAAATTACGGTCTTGGTTTATTTTTGACTTCTCCAGAACAAAATTTAGCACAGCTAATTTTGTATATTTTGAACCTTTTATGTTTTAAAGTGGTATGATTCCATTTTATTTCGTCGTAAATCCAAAAAGTATACACATTCTTTGTCTATAGTAGACTCATTCTATTTAGACCACAAATTCGGACCAAAATTAACACAAGAAATCCTAAAAGGACCTCCTCTGAAAATCAATTTGATATATCATATGAAAGAAAAAAAATGATTTGTTTTTCGTTGCTGTTACATTTCTGATTTCCATTGCTGATTTCTAGAACAAATTTTTGAGGTGCAAATGTATGGAATTTCGTTTTCGATACCGATTACAATCTATAAAGCTATGTATATATATACATAGCTTTATGTGTAATAAATAAATCAGATTTTGGATATTGGAGGATTACAAAATTATGGACTTTTAAAGGCCATATTCTTACCATTAAAAAGGTGAAAAAAGTGAGCAGCTTAATTGCGTTTAATTTTTTAAATATAAAATATATAATATATAGTTTACACGATATTTTCGTTCAAAGTTATTATGTCATACAGTTTAATAACAAGTTTGCCATTTTTCAGACGCTGAAGCTAGAGCAGTTGCAGCAGCATTAGAAGAAGCAGACAAGCCAGCAATTGAGAATTAATTTGTTTTCTCACTCTCCACCCCAAAACACAAGCAGTATCCTTTTGAACAAACCGTTCTTCAGAAGTAAAATGCGACACATTTTGAAGAAAAAGCTCAAATATAAAAAATTTAATTTTAAGAACAAAAAAAACATGAACAAAATTTATTAATAATAATTTAATTAAAAATTATTTTAAGAATTTATTGTAACAATTTAATATAAAACTAAAACAACAACAACAAAATAGGAAATTATTAAAAATAATAACAAAAACACCACATAAATACGCTTGATAAATATATTCTTTATTTTTTTTTTGTAAATTTTTTCATTTCCCCCTAGTTTAACAATTTATTTGTAAATATATAATACAATTATTAAATGCAAGAAAAATTAAAAAAATGCAGTGTACTAACTGCAACTCAATTGTATAAAATTAATTATTTAATATTTATTAATAAACTACGTACATATGTATGTATGCTAGAGAATGTATTGAAATTTTATGTAAGCAAAAAACAAACAAAAATATGTATGAGTATGTACATATGTATTATTATTGAAATACATATAAAAACTTAAAATTATACTACGTATTACTATTTATTACTACCATTATATTAAACACAATTGTCCTTAAGGGAGAAGTACACAAAACGCGTTGTTCGCCGCAATTCGTTATAGACTTCTATCAAAAAAGTTGAACTAGTGTATTTTCATATAACAAGATATATGTATGTACACTGTAGTTTGTAATGCGTCTGCCGCGAATTTTGTTTTCTGTAGAACAAAAATAATTTTAAAATAAATACATTTCATTAACAATAAATGTCAAATATTTAAAAAAATATAAAAAACTTAAATTTTTGATTTTAAAGCAATAGTATCCTTTAAAATATGAAAATAAGATTGAAATGACGTGCACTGTGTAACTTGCAGTTTATAAAGCGCGAAAACTTTTAAAAGCTGGAGATCCATACTACGCGTTTTCGCGTCAAAGCATTGTATGCTTTTTATACATTCTACTCTTCAAGTTACGCGTCAATAAGCGCCTATTTTTGTTTTATTTAGAAAGACCCAGCAATTTATTTGGAAGTGAAATTGTAGTATTATAGAATACAACTAATTTGACTTAAATAATATTAACAGTAATTAGGGTAATAGACACATTTAATACAAAAACTCAAATATAAATAACGTTTTTATCTCATAAAAATGTAAGAACAAAAAATATATCTTCAACATTGAAAATATGAAAATAGAATCATTTTCGCTTATTCGGAAGTCTTTAAACATCATCATCCTCAGAAGGCAAAGTGCTACTTTGGAAGTGGTGATAAATGTTATTCTTTTGGAAGTTACTTCGTTTTATTTTTGATGGAGAACTTCGCCTTTTTCTGCAGCTTTTATTTATTTTTTCACCGTTAAACTCATTTTAATTTAATAAAATAGATAAACACACATTAAAAAAATAATATAAATTATCAAAATCAGCTGGCGTGTTCGTGCGCTGCTTGTGACGCTTACAATAGTAGATCTGCTTTAAGCATTATACGCGTCAAGGCATCCTAAGCTTTTTTATTTGTAACTTGCATCATACAAATACATTGATTTTACTGTTCTGACAGACGCGTTTAATGCTAGAAAACTAGCGGCAGCAGTATTACCAGCTCTAATAAAATTAGTGTGTTTACAAAATTTTCCATATAAAAATATTGACACATTACGAATATTTTGATTTGACAATGACGAGAGAAGCGGCAACGTGGCAAAATTGAATTTTGTTCAACTTTGCCACACGGCCGCTTAAAAATCAATTGTCATACAAATTGTTCATTTAAATGTTTTGAAAATCAACACCAAAATTTTTAAGCGGGAAGCGATTGAATGATTGCTGCATACGTCAGCATTCCGCTTACATTGACCCTGTACTATAAAAGCGTGAAAAGGGTTGCCGCCTCAACGCGTGTTGTGTACTTTCAGTTTTATTATAATTGTTACTATTGTTAGACTTATTCGAGACATTTATTTGGTATTAATAATTGCATATGTATCTTCTTTTGCAATATTTGTTTAAATATGCACAGTGGTAGATAATGATGCTCGAAATATGATTACAAAATAAAATTTTAGTTAATTAATTTTTGTTTTATTTTTCATTACTGTATTTCAAAACTATTTATTTTCAGTCACACAAATGAAATTGTTTTTAAAAAAAAATAGCACAGTTAGGCACTACTTTCGGTTCGGTGAAGCAGGAGGAGTAGTCGGAACTTAATCACTGATGAATTTTTCCAGGATCCGACATAAAATAGTATGTGTTAAAGATCGTATTACATTTGTAATTTTCCACTTAATAAAATTTAATTTTTAAAATTGCGAAATTGTGATTGTTTTGCAATTACTCGTATAACATTTATGTATTTCAGTTGTAAGAATTTAATACTTTATAACGTTTGAAATTTTTATATAATATAAATTACACATATAAGTAATATATTATTTATGAAAATATCAGATTATTATGTATACGTAAGAAAAGAAGGAGTTTGAATATGTTCTACACTTCGGGATAGAACATTGGGTTCTGTCACAGTGTTCCATTTCGATCGAAAGTGGAATTACTACATAGTAAAAAAATTGATTACAACTTTAAACAAAATTTCGAAAGAGTTGTAGATTTATTTTTTGAAAAATAACAATATAAAAAAAATAATTCAAAGTCTTGAAACTTTCTGTGGCAGGCCCTATTATTTTATAATTTTTTTTGATTAATTTACACTAATGAATTGTTCAATATCGGTTTAAAAATTTTATTTTATTTATATTTGTTAACAATAAAATCGAGTCGTTATATTAAAAAAGTGACAACTAAAATTTTGGTCAAAATAAGTTATTGATGGCAAATATATTCCTAACGTGTTCTCAATGTCTGATAAACATTTAAATTCAAAAATAAACTTTCACTTACGCGGTAAGCAGGCAAATAATATTAGAGCAAAGTGGGTGAATACTAGGGTGATCGACATTGTATGCTTTTTATCGATTTTCCAACCGGTTTTAAAACCGGTTTTTTCTGCTTTACCAGTGTCGGTTTTTTCTTAATGTTGATTTTTCGAATATCGAATAACCCGGTTTTTTCACTTTTTAAAACCCGGTTTCGAATACTTTTATTTGCTTTGTATTCAAAGATTATTTAAATGAAATTTTTAAGTAAATAATAATACAGCCCGTCTAAATTTTAAAAATATTCGAGTCGAGGAACTAGAGTATATTTTTCTACAGCTCTTTTGGTTAAATTTTTTTGATTTTCCTAATTAATTAAAAAAAATTATTTGTAAAATGGATAACTGTTTGATAAAATTTAGCAATCTTAAGATTATATTCCAATTACAATAATTAATTTACGGCTGAAATTTTATGGAAGTGTTGGAATGCCTATGCAAATTTCCTAAACAGGGCTTTTAAAATAAGCTAGGATTACATAGTACCTTATGTTTAACAGAAGTGTCCCACTTTTTTCCTAATTTTTTTATATTAAAGAAATAATGTAAATCAGACGACTAGATCTAAAGTTATAATCTTTTAAACTGTTAAAAATCATTTAGGGCCATGTTTTATTAATCAAATTTAAACATAAACATTAAGTTTTTCAAATTAAAATATATTTTTTTAATTGTAATGAAAAACCGGTTAACCGGTTTTTTCTGAATTTGAAAAATATCAACCGGTATAGCGGGTTACGAAACTTTCACGGATTTAATCCCTTCTGTATGTACTTTGTTTATTATTATAATAATACTAGAGTAGAAACTTAAAATGTATTATTGCTAATATCTAGCGACAAATCACTTTTGTGATGGTTTGTGAATTTAAGTGAAATCAAATTGACAGATACAAAATTTCAAAGGATATTGGAAAAAATGTCTAAATTTGTTTGCTTTTTTTTTTGGTGTGGAAACATTTTGGGTCCAAACTAATTAAAAATTAGAATTCTGTCAAATTCATATTAAGCAGACATACCGTTTTATTCGAAGTTTTTATAATTTAGATATAAATTTAAAAGAAAAACACAGCTATTAATACAGGCGATAAGTAAATCTATCGCTACTTATGAAATTTATACCTACTTAAATTTGTACGGAAAATTTATATAAACTTCGAAAAAAAAACACAACTAAAGGCTTGAATATAACCAATCGTTTTTCACAATTTTCATACAAAAAGAAACGTTGACGTTGAAAATCAAAAATAAAATTAATGTTATTTTCTCTACGTTTTCTTAATTTCTCTCTTTAATGTTGCCCTGATTTTCAAATATTAAATATTTTCAAATAAAAAACATATGAAATAAGCCCAAAAAACATCTACACTTAAAAACGTTTTACATTTAATTGATAACTAATTTTATTTAAGATTAGATGCGCAAATTATATATTTAAAATATTACTTAAATAATAAGATATGAAGTCATATTTTTGAACTATAAAAACATTCATACAACAATTTTATTGTATAAACAAAAATCCAATAATTTGACTGAATTTGTTTGCAGGTTCTTGAGAAAAAAATAAATAAAAGGTCAACATCCTTATTAAATTCAAAATTCTTCCAATAGCGTTAAACGTCACCTCCAACGACTTTATATATTCAAGCTTATATTCAAGGTTATATTCAAGCCTTAATAGTAAGTTTGAGAGAGAAATTAATGTATGGCCATGTCGCTTTAACTTCGATTTATTGTTTTAATCAGAAAGAAAACTGTTAATATATTATTGCTAAGAGTTTACAAATGAAGAAAAAAACTACAAATATTTGTCATTAAAAGCAACAAGTAGTTAATATCTAATACATACACATAATAAATGCATAATACTTACATATGTACATAAGTATTTATGTACATACTTACTACATTTCAAAAAAGAAAGAACTTTAGTTATTTTTATACCAAGAATACACCAATTTAAATATTATTTGAAGTTATTTTTAGTTTGGTTTTTGTTTAAACGAAAAAAAAAAAATGAAAAAACACATGAATGGGTAATAACTATACCAAGAAAAGAATAACTAAGTGTTACAAAAATAAATACAAAACAAAAACATTTTTCAAAATGTCTGATAGCGGGACCAGTCTTTTAAGGTTTACCATTACTCTGAAACAATAAACTACATTTCCCTCACACAAAAATAAAATAATGAGAATTGTTTTAATCCCTTCCTTACATAACATTTTTGTTCAGAGCAATGGTAAATGCACTTAGCAGTAGGTACCATAATATCAGCTGAAATTGGGATCATAGCTTTATTAAGGTAGTAAAACAAATAAACTTTATATATACATGCAAATATATACATATATATAAATATATATATATATATATATATATATATATATATATATATATATATATATATATATATATATATATATATATATATATATATATATATCTAATTACACAAAAATATAAATATATAAAATAAATTAATATGTATAACCAAAAATAAATTAATGAAACTAAGTATTTATAACTAATATAAATTAAATGCAAATTATATTGTATTTATGAATAAAGAAAATAAATTATAAGAGCAACTAAAATAAATTAAGGAAAGAAGAAAAGCTCAAATATATACATATATTTTTTAATTTCCTAAAGCTCTCCGCATGATATAACCAATCCATTTTTAATTAAAATATTTATCTATTTTTATTTTCCATTAACTAAAAACACAGATCATAGCGAAATCAAAAGGTGAAGTCAATTCTACAAAAGAACAAAAGTTGTATAGTTACATATTTACATATGTCCAAAAATGTTTGTATATGTTGTAAATAAAGAAAATCCCATATGGCCAACATTTCTCTACTTAAAACTATAATTTAAATTCAATGTTTTGTTATTACACAAAAATTAACTTAAATTTGAAATTTTAAAGTTTATTACAAAAATCAGTGAAATAGAATCGAAATGTCTTAACACAACTAGATTAAAGTAGTCATTGGGAGTTTTTAAAACATTCATTATATTACCACCAGCTTAAGACACAATCTAATTGCCGGGAGACATCTTAATTGTTTTCTTTGTTTTTAAGATCTGTCTCTAAAGTTGTAATTTTCACGGTCAAAACTTCATTAGACTATATAGTCAAATATATTGGATCTCCGCTCCGGGACGACCCGAATTATACACGGCCGATAATTGTCAACTCAACAACAGCAGTATCAACCAAAAAATTACAAAGAACTCACCTTTAGTGCAACTGCTACAAAATATTTTTGATATTTCTTGTTCCTCGTATATCCCAATAGCATTGTTGATCACAATTTGTTTAATTTTTTATTTATTTATGTTTTGTATTTTAGAAAATTTATATTTTGCCCAGGAAAATAATGTTTTACTGCAGAATTTTAGATAGCTTAATGAAATTTGGCACATACATAGCTTCTCCTTAGCATAATTAGTAAGGAATTAAATGTCACCGAAAACATCGTATGCGCTAAGCGAGATATTGGAGGTCAAAGGTTACAAAAATTTGTTTTTGGCAAATATCTTTCATAATATGCGTCGTACGCATTTTAATGCAATTATAAATTCTATAGAGAATTGAATTTCCGACATTTTGGTTGAAGAATATTTTTGCGTATCATTAGTTGTTTTCGAGCTATAGTGCATTATTTTTTCATTGCAGTTATTTTTAAATCTTAATATTTTTAACACTGAAGCAGATTATATCAGAATTTGTCTTTCTAATATTAGCTAAAGATACGTAATTTAAAATTATCAATGCAACACTCTCTGACCCATAGTGCAATGTCCGTCTATCCTAAATTTCCGATGGGGCCATAGGTCATAATTATGAATATAATTAAAAAAACGGTGAACGTAATCCACAAAGTCAGGAAAATATTTCCACTAAAATTTATTGAAATCAGATTACGACCTCATTTAGCTCCAATATAGATAACCGGTTTTAATTTGGTACCAATATTAATTTGTACCATGGGGTTTTTATTAGGGTTGTCATTCGAATAAAAATTATTCGATTAATCGGGGAAAAAGATTCGTTTTTCTTTGAACGAATAAACATTTACAATTTAGAATAAAGAATAATTCGAAAATTCGATTAATCGAATA